TAGTATTATACACGACATGAAACGGTGAATTTTCAAGGAAAACAGTGAAGAGAACCTGGGCGGTCACGGGAACGTGTTGTTGCCGAAAAGTCACCTGAGAAAGTTTTCGCAAGTTTGAGTGACATCCTTTGTTCAGAAACTTCGTCGCCGCTGTTGTTATGTTGGATAGCGCGTGAATTGGCCTAATGGAAGTATTTTCTTAACAGCTATTCAAGTATTTATGCAGGAATAGGAAGGCATGCGGGTCTAAACCTCCAGAAATGATGAGGGTTCACATGGGAAATAGGGCCAACAAGATAAATTATTTGAAGCCAATCAATTGATCATTTCGTTATTTAAAGGGAATCTGAGACTTGAGTCGAGGTGGGTAGAATCATTGACTTTTACTAACTTGTTTATTTTTTCGTTGGAATATAGGAAGGAGGGAGAAATGGGCAAGGGTTAAGAGGAACTAGCCTTAAAAGCCCTGAGAATATGGCAGCCTCCCTTTGTTTATTTACTTTTTCTTACAAAAAGGTTTCTTTAGAAAATCATTCTGTAAGAAAAACTGGTGAGAGATGTAAAAGGCACTGACAAGCAAGTGAAAGAAGTGGTGGGGGCAGAATCTTGTGTTTACCACCATTCCACCTATGTAAGCTGTCAAGAGGGATAAACCGAGGCGAAGGCTCCGATTTCTCGGATCAAACCGAGTTGTTTGAATGTTCAGACGATCGGGCAATTAGAACTACTTGACATACATCCAACAAGCACGTACCATTGGATGGGACCAGAGTTCATGTTTTATGTGGTCTTCATCAGATTTGTCATAAAGTTGACCTTATTGGGAAAAAGAGGGGACATTACCCCTAACCAGTAAGTATCAAATACTGGTACTGGCGTACTTGTTGATGAGGCCCAGCATGTGCTATGGAACTGTAACTGGGAGTTGTACATATGTGAAAGTAATGGGGTCAAAGGGACCAATAAAGGTTACACAGGACACCACCTCTGTGAGTTTTGAAACGTTTTATCCTAAGATGCTGTTCCGGACTCCCTCAATGACGTCAGACGCTCTACAACCCGGCAGGATTTATGACTGATGTGAAGGGGGGGGGGGATGAGATTCGAAATTAGTCTTTCTTACCTTCCTATGGGGGGAATTCCCTTGTCTACTGAGCTACTTCAAGCAGGAACTGTCTGGCAGAAAATCAGGAGTCAAGCAATAAAGCGATGCCATCCCCAGGCGAACGAGTAGGGGTGCGACATAACTTGACTTGGAACTATATGGGTATACCCAAACGGGCACCATCATCATTACAGCGCCATCATTAATCAGCCGCTGTGATTCAAATTATTCAAAGACGTCAGGGTTTTTCAGGACCTGTTTACCGCAACAACTTGAAAATAAAAAGTTTCCAATATAATGATAATGGGTTCTGTAAATCTTCGAGCTAGAGTGAAGAAAAATCAGGGAAGGTTTTCAAAATGTCGGTATTTTTCTACTTTCTGCTTTTTTTTGCGATTTTTTCATTGGTATCTAGGAAATATCCAACAAAACACTGGAAATGAAGACCATTGGCGCGCAAGAACTCACCAGAACTATTACTAAAACCAGTCAATGCCCACAAAACTCAATGGGTCGTAAGGTACGTGTAGCGATAATATCCTAGCACGAAAAATGACTCAACTGTGAAAGATTCAGAAGAACTATTTAACAGGTATGCAGCAAGTGCAAGGAATTCTTGCAGCAAAACAAGTCCCGTTGCTATTGAAAGTTGACAAAGTTCTAGTAATTGCCCATTCTTGACATTCAATCGTCTTAGAAGGCTAAGAATGTGCTACATAAAGGCTCAAGCAAGGGCGGAGTGCTGTACCGTCCGACTTCCTTCATTCACACCCTCAAGCTCATTCGTTCATGAGTTATGCCTTAACTTAGTGTTAACAGTAGGGCCAACTTCGGTTGGCCTCTCTGATTAGACAGGCGGTGCTGCTGTCACCATCTCGACCTCTCACATTGGCTTCATAAGGATCATTTGGTCACGAGATTTGCCCTCATGAACGAATGAGCTTCAGGTCTATTCAATGGTAGCCCTGATTGAGTAGACATGGAATATAGGTAAAAAGAGCCTTTCAATGCTACTGGCTAGCATAGACGGACTGATTTTCCAGTGCCACTGAATTCGATTTTCTTCATTTATCGGTTCCTATTTGATCACTCCCATTGCTTTTAGAAGATATTCTATTTGTTCGGATTATACGCCTAAAGATGCGCTCTTGCTCCTCACACACTAACTGTGGATGATCATATAAAGGGTCACACATTGACCGTCCATTTAATAGACTTATTTTTGATCGCTCGGATGGAAATAGCGGTAATGAGCCGAGTTGCAGTAAGGTCACTGACCCTAACCGACCCATCGGTCGTCTGCCTGCTTTCTAAACAATGATGCTTCAGCGAGCTTTTCACAATCCAATTTGTCAACAAGTAGGTAAGGTACTTTTATCCACCTAGAATTGTATGATGATTAAGTCGGTCTAAGATATTGTAGGGTGTGGTGATGTTTGATCGGGTCACTTCGTGCGTTTGATTCTATCCTTCCAGGCTCTGAAGAAAGCAGCTTCGCCGAAACGTAAGCCATTAAGTTATTGTGAACCTTCTGCAGAGTTATATCAGTAAGTTATTTCGATATTTGTCAACAAAACTTGACTGCCGATGATTTTTTCGATAACTCAGGCTGCTACTTATTCAACGCTTATTGCTGGTGCTGTGCGAAATTGGCTCCGCTTTTTCATTTCTCAAAAATGTCTAAAAGGAACACAACTGCCTTTTCCTCTAAAACGTCGAACAAGTATGTTTCAGCTGAGAAATTCACAGAAAGCCTTTTCAGACTTCCGTTCAAGAGGTTTGTCGATGGTTATGCTCTCTTCTATGATTTTTGTTCTGTTCACTTTGTTTTTTTCTGAGCAGCCTTCGGAAGACATGAGTGCTTGCCGTCAACGAGTCTTATTTGAAAATTTTAAAAAACTCCCAAAAAGTACGTAATTGGATATCGACCGATGCTTCCTGTTCATTATGAGCCCTGGATGAAAGGTAACTCTTTTATCTGAATTCCATGGAAATCTGGTATAGAGGAAGGAAAGAGTCACACTACCAGCGACCAGGGTTTCTCTCTCGAGTCCTTTGATACTATACGATGTATGAAGGTGCTTTCAAGGGTGGCTTTGAATTTTTTTGGTGCCCTCGCTTTAGTTGCCGCTAGATTTAACCACATTGAGGATTCGAATGACAAGGTCGGAACCGTCGGGCTCTACCCTCAGCGGGTGGTGCCGTAGGGATGGCCTTGTCGGCGTTCATTTGTCAGTGCGATGGCCTTGTCGGCGTTCATTTGTCAGTGCCCCTCTGACACTTGGACAACCTAATTGCGGGTGATACCTCGCGATTGTGGTTCATAAATCTCCCGTTGAGAAATTCACCCAGTGATTGCCAATTGTGAGCTTGAAGTTCGAGCTGTGAGAACGGCTGAAACGTTACGCCGCTGGAAGGCTCATTAACGGAGTTGTATTACTCCAAACACGAGTTGATAACTAGTTTCTGTCCCCAGAGTAACCCACTGAGTGACATCATAGCCAATTATATGAATATGATAAATAAAGTAAGTAATCGGGTCGAAAATGCAAGAAATAAAACCAAGGTTCAAAGAACCGAAGCGTGTCCTTGGAGTTTTCACTCACTTCACCTAATAAGTGCACCCTAGGTCCCCAGACAGCATGATGTCGAAAGTACGTTCATCCTTGCCTGTATATTTCACGTATACTCAGAAAAACTTAATTCCGGGCAACATTTCTAGCCTGGGAGTGGATTTAGATCCGTACTGTGCCTTCCCGGCATCGACACCTAACCCCCACTGCTCCCTTCAACTGTAGCTTATCAACCCTCACGCGTATGACCGGGATTGAGCCGGTTAGCCAATGTCGCCATTGAACCATGAACCCGTAAGCTTTTGATACTACCTGTTTTGACTTGTTGTTATTTGTCAATTGCTGTTTTTCGCCGCAGTTCACATGCGAAAGTCCCTCAAGGTCACTAGGTTGTGGGCGTGGGTACTCAGAAGCTACAAATGGAAGGTTACAGGAAAGCTGAAGATGAAGGAAGGGCAAAAGAATCTTGGTTGTGCAAGGGAGAAGGAATACGGTGTCCTCGCTGGCAGCACAAGTACGAGATTAGTCCCCCTTAGCCTCTTGTTCAAACCCTCTGCTCAGCAACGCTTAGGGCGCAGCTACGGAAAACTGCAAAAAACCACCAAGTCGGTCATATTACAGGGTGGCATTGAACGATATGGGTGCTGAAGTTTCCTTTAAGAATAGATCAGAGCGGGACGTGGTTTCGCAGAGCCTCTTCATATGTATGCAGATGGAAAAGTGCGGCCTTCACTAATGACCATCCTAGATTCAACATCGGAACAGTGTGTAACCCACTTATATCTAGCAGTGGGCTCATTAAAATCAAGTGAATCCCCTCCCCTCACCATCAGATTCCCCCCACCCCTCTAGATAATACAATACATTTGACCAAGTAGGTGATCTAGCATCAGCCAATAGGGTTCATGACCCCCGTTCCGTGGGAATGGGATGAGCATGAGTGTAGGTTGAGACCGCTCCTTCATTCATCGATAAAAATTTCGGCAAAAATTCTACTTGATGTGTGAAATTGTCAATGTTTCTAGAATTTTATAGTGGTTAATGGGATTTGGAGGGAAAACGTCCGAGAAGCTATCGGAATTTTTGAGTTCAAAAATCTATTCACCAAAAGTACTGTTGAACCGAAATGTAAATTGAATGAATGGTTGGTCCAGCTCTCCCTCTGGATTCGGTAATTGCGTGGGCCAAGCTCACTGGGGTAGAATGAAAGGTGCGATATTACTGCAGTCCAACTATCAGCTGTGGTAGCAGTTGTGGTTGGTGAAGAGCTGTTGTAGCAGCTCTAGAATGTTGGTTCATATGGGAAGGCCTATGCATGTTAGGAGGAGAGCCTGAGCTCGAGAGCGTTATTTGGAAACTTGGCGATGAGTAATCCTCGAGAGTGTTACCCTCGAAAGGCTTGAAGGAAACATTCGGAGTACTGAGCAATCCTTGAGATGAGTTTTTAATGTTGTAACATAGTCATCGTTACTAAGGAGTACCTTTTGTGAGTCTTTGAGGTAGACAAGGAGTAACCCATGATCACAAGTGACATTTCCGAGTTTTGCCGCTGCATACTCTCTTTCCATATCAGCTTTCAAGTCGTCCGTCTGGAAAATCATATTCAGAATCAGAGTTTCCTTAAGGCGATTATAAAGTTATAACTAAAACTACGAGACTAAGCACTACTAAGGTTAACACTTTCTCCGCTGACATTCTTCGTGTTCGTCACATGAAGTAAGCCGATGAAGTTGTCACGACCGTCGGCACGGCGACAGCCATCCACACATTCGCATCTACAACAACGACAGATTCAGATGAGGCACAATGTTGATCAGCCATTGGCATAAGTTGAACTCTACTGGGGGATGACATCAACCTTCTGTGCCCAATGGTTTCTGAAGCTAGTGAGTGAACCCATTAAAAAGTTATGGGGGGTCAATATATTCAAGTGATAGGCTATTGACATTAGAGCATGAGAAAACTAAAAGGTACTGAATAGAGCTACGCGTATTCCATGAATTCTCTGACTGCCGAAATCCCATTAACTATGTTTTTTGAAATCATATTCTTAATTTTATTCAACTTTTTTCATTTTACATTTCAATCATCATTTTTTGAAATAAAGTCTCCTAAATATTCAGTTTCTGGCCGTGCACAGCTAACTTTTCACACCCCGCTGTGTTGCAATTGTTGCATTCCGATAGTATGTAATGAGTAAGATTTGAATTTTTTAGAATGTTTTTAAATTTGCTTTCTTTCTAATTAAAAAGGATTTCCTTCTGAGCCACCAATAGCATCGAGCCACTAATAGCGTGCGGTAATAGGCTGTTAAAAGTGGAGGTAGAATAGTGTCTCGAGATCTCTGGACCCCTCGCGCAGTCTAAATCTGATCTCGATTCGAGCTTTCCTTCAATTCCACCGAGTTCGAGACTTTTCTTTTCAAATCTGCAAATTCCACCTAGGGGTCTTGCTAATGAAAACATTGCTTCACTTGGCTAGCTCCTATCGTATAGTTACATAGTTTGAAGCGTGAATAGGAGATTGGATGGTTGTGGATCGAATTTGAACAGGTATCTAATCTATCGACCTAATATTGAAAATTAACTAGTTAGTTTCGTTGGAAAGATTCCTGAAGACTGATCAAATCTCTTCAACTAGCCATTTGACCTCGACCTACAGCAGTAGAACATCAATGAACGATTCAGGGACTTGTCCTTCCACCGTTCTCTCAGGGGTGGTTGCTCGGTTTTTGGGTGTTAACCAATCATCTAGC